TCTCGCCTCGGCCGACAATTCGCGGCTCCAAAGTTCAAGGGCCGAACGCTGCTATGGTCAGGCGCAGCAACGGGGGCTGCGGGGGGCGCGATACTCAGCCCACTCGCATTTGTCCAGGTCGCCAACGACGAGTCGGATCATGGAGAAAAGACGCACGAGGAGGCCATGCTGGAGGCGTCGCGGAAGGAACTGAATGAGCAGGTGCCCCATGCGCTGAGGAACTCTTCCAAGTACAGGCGGGGCATATACTTCCTCATCGACGACTACATCATCGAGCCCATAGCCACCGGATTCCGCTTTCTCCATCTCATCATCATCTTCGTGCCAGTCATAGTGACGATACCTGCGATATGGCTTGGTTCACGGCAGCCGGATAGGGACAACGAGCGGAGTGGGACACTGTGGTGGTATGGCTTCCTGGTCGGATCCATGGAGAGGGCTGGTGCTGCCTTCATCAAGGTGCGTATTGCTACACCAGAACATGGCCCATCGACTGCAAACTAATCCTCTTACCAGCTTGGGCAATGGGCAGCCTCCCGAACAGACGTCTTTCCGACCGAGATGTGTCTCATTATGTCAACCCTCCACTCCAACGCCCCGGCGCACACACTGCAAACCTCGAAGCGAACAATCGAGGCGGCATTTGACGGACAGAGCTTCGACGATATTTTCGAGGAGTTTGACGAGAAACCACTGGGTGTGGGCGCCATCGCGCAGGTGTACAAGGCAAAGCTGAAGCCACACCTTGCCACGCTAGAGGACAACTCGATCGATCGGAAAGAAGCCAATCTAGCGCGTCGGATCAAGAAGAACGTCGACGTGACGCTGAAGAGCTCACCCTCGAGAGTGCCATCTAGCCATGTTGCCATCAAGGTTCTCCATCCCAACATCGAGAAGATAGTCCGGAGAGACTTGCGTATAATGGGTTTCTTCGCGGCTGTTATCAACGCCATACCCACCATGGAGTGGTTGTCGTTTCCCGATGAAGTGGAACAGTTTGGTGAGATGATGAGACTGCAATTAGATCTACGCATCGAAGCCGCGAACCTCACCCTCTTCCGACGAAACTTCAAAGACCGAACCACAGCCTGGTTTCCTTATCCTTACACGGAATACACTACGCGCAACGTGTTGATCGAGGAATTCGCCCAGGGTATTCCTATGGAAGACTTTTTACAAAATGGAGGTGGAGTATTTCAAAAGGACATTGCAGATGAAGGCTTGGATGCCTTTCTTACCATGGTCCTCATCGACAACTTTATCCATGCCGACCTACATCCAGGAAACATAATGGTGCGGTTTTACAAGCCCGAGCAGCTAGACGTCTCAATCTTCGCCCGAAAGGAAGATCGAAGGACCGGCCCCAAAGAGTCGCTCGATGTTACCGAAGAGGTACTTGAGCGTCTGCGACCACACAAGAAGGATCCCCAGCAGTGGAAAGCGAAGCTACAGGAGATCGATAACGAAGGATATCGACCACAGCTCATTTTCATCGATACGGGTTTGGTAACGGAACTCAATGGAAAGAATCGCGCCAATTTTCTGGATCTCTTCAAGGCTGTTGCCGAGTTTGATGGTTATAAGGCAGGACATCTGATGGTTGAGAGATGCAGACAGCCAGATGCAGTACTCGACGGAGAAGTCTTTGCTTTGCGCATGCAACATTTGGTTTTGGGAGTCAAGAGCCGTACTTTTGCTCTTGGCAATATCAAGATTGGAGATATCCTTAACGAGGTTCTCTCTATGGTGCGAACGCATCATGTACGGCTTGAAGGCGACTTTGTAAACGTTGTTCTTAGTATCCTTCTCCTAGAGGGTATTGGAAGGAGTTTGAACCCAAACCTGGATCTCTTTGCAGGGTAGGTCATACAGTATAGTACAGAGGGTCGTCTACTAACATCGTCAGTGCTCTGCCAATACTTCGACAACTTGGCACGCAAAGTGGCTCTTCGATGATTCGTGGAGGCGACTTTTCGATGCTCAAGGTCTGGGTCGGTCTTGAGGCACGCAGCTTCTTGCAAGCCTCGATTGATACGGTATGGCAAACTACACTCGTGTTGCACTGCGATACTAACAAACACTCAGGTCGAACGATGTGTCAAGTCCGACCAGCTTTCCCCGAATATATAATTGACTCATGCATACTACCGCATGATATACTCTATGTTATTCAAACTTTCAGCTATTGTGAAAGAGACCATAATTGGTTTCTGTGAAAGACGCAAGCCGTCTCATACATCCAGCTCACAGGCAGAAACACTACCTTGTGGAAGTCTTTACACATTAAAGGCATCGTCACGTCCGTATAGAAACATGTATATCACAAGCCATCTGTCTTGCTATGCGTTTGGAAGCCGAGGCGGTGCACTGCCGTTCCACAGTTTTAAGCACCCGCTTACCGTGGAGGGACGCGTCAAGGCGACAAGGGTCTTGTGCCATGACGTCACGCCTGGGGTAAGCTTCGCAGCTATGCCATACAACATCACTCTTCTCATGTACAATACGTCTTACACCCAATTCATTTAAACGATTAATAGAGTTGCCTCGTAACCTTTTGACCGAAACCCTGCATTTCTTGCCTTAACACATACGACACTCTTGCCAGCAACAATGGAGGCCGGAGCCGCTGGTGTGCTCTACGCAGCCGAGAATCTACTCGAGGGTGCCGTCGCCCTCGTAAAGGGCATTACTCATCCGACACTGCCCATCAAGGCAAATCTTACGCGTATATCTTCGGTTCCCCTCGCTCGCTCGCACCACACTGTCTCAGTAGTCAAAGGTCGCGCATATATCTTTGGAGGAGAGACCGAGGCTGGCAAGCTCGCAGACAATGACATGCACATTGTCATTCTACCGTCGAGCGGCGTTCTCGATGCTGACTACACCAAGTATCCCGCTCGCGCGACAAACGGTCTGGACGACGTACCGAACTCGAGAAAAGGACATACGGCTACGGTGATAGGAGATAGCATATACGTGTTTGGCGGCGAAGGAGAAAGTGTAGCAAACGAGAAGGGGCGGGTTTGGGTTTATGATACAGTATCGAACACCTGGTCTTACCTTGATCCAGCGGAAGGCACGCTCTATCCCAGCCAGCGAGCTGGTCATGCTTCGGCGAGTTCAGATCTGCCAGGCCCGAAGACAACGACATATGTCGAGAAGGCACCACAAGCACCTGCTGACCCCGCAAAGAATGTTCCTGAGCCGCCGGAAGCTAATTCATACGGGACCATCTTCGTAGTCGGAGGTCGCGATACTTCGAGCAATGACCCTGCAAATGATGCGCTTGCATTTGACGTCAAGACGAGAACATGGACCAATATACCTTCTCCAACAGGGCAGCCCCGAGAAGGCGCAGGCTTAGCACTCGTTGGCAGTCGCCTATATCGATTTGGTGGCAAGGGCATCGAGACGTTTGCCTCAGGTGCGACTGAGTACGTGGACGCATCACATGTATGGACGCATGCAGAACGCGGAACTACACCGGTCGCGAGTGGCTGGAGCTGGGAAGAAGTGAAGCACACGGACAGCCAAGGTAGTACTGCTACAGCACCACAGGCGCGGGCGGACGCAGGACTTGTAGGCGTCACGACAGGCCAAGGGCGACACTACCTGCTAGCTGTCGGCGGAGAAACTGAGGATGGGAGTTATCTTGACGATATATGGGCGTTACAACTTGCACCTGAGCGTTACACGGCTGCAGCCACCAAGGACACTATCCGCTCCGGTATGAAGAGGGACACGCATGAGTCGCAGTGGGCCGAGGTAGTATACCGGTACGTAGACACAAAGGGCGAAGAAGAGAAGGAGATACCAGGAAAACCAAAGAGGGGTCTCGGGGCAAGAGGACATTTCGGTATCGCCAAGGGTACAGAGGTTGATGGAGCGACATGTGTAGTGTGGGGTGGTGTTGACATGAACGGTAGTGTACTAGGCGATGGTTGGATGATTACTGTTGACAGGTGAGCTGTCATGTCGTGCTTTCGTGAATATAGATGGAACATGCACTTCAAACATGCATCTACGGCAAATAATGTTTGACCGCCTAGAATGTGGTCAATTTGTGGATCTCCGATGCTCCTTCCTGTGCTATCTTTAAGAAAGAGTTCTTAGGATTTTCCGGCTTTTTCCTGGTGTATGCATGATCTTATAGGGAGAAGCTCATATTTCCTTAATTTTCTTGTTCCTAATAACGTTGTAGACGCGACGTGACGCGACGCTCGGGGCAATTACCGGCGTAACGATGCGGCAAACAGCACCAAGCCTCAAGACCCCCTAGCCATCTGGATCTGCGCTGCGCTACGCTTTACGTTGTCTTTATACTCTTGCGCATAGGTATTGGATGCCGCTAAGCGCAATCAACACCTTGGTATCTGCTCTTTGAGGCTATCGGAGTCTTTATTGGCGGAGTGGGTGTAAAGGTGAAACAACAAAGCTCGCCCAATCAGGAAAGTGACGGCAAAACACGACCAATCCTCGGCTGTATCTATAAAGCGACTACCCGTCTACAACAACTCAGATAGCCCTGCAAGGATTCGGGGTGCATCTGGATAAACACGAGCTTCGATTGAGTGGCTGACAGCGGCGCGAGCACGGGAATGACGGAGAGGGCCGACCCAGTAGGGTGCCGCTAGAATACAATGCAGAACCTGGGAATTTTGGGCATTATGCGCCTGCTCTGGGGAGGATTGGCTTTAATTCTGCTGCTTCCCCAGCATGGCGTTGTGCGAGGATCTGGATTTCAGGACGATCGTACTGGTTACGCTGCGCCTGGAGAGCACATACACCAGCAAAGACTACAGTCAGTCTCTTACAACAAGTCGACGAGTGAAAAAGACTTGGAAGGGTCATCAATTATGGGTTGGGGTGAGTCATGATCTAATGGTCTATAGAGAGTGGTGAGAGGTGACGAAACTGATTATGTGTCAACAGGCGGAGATTTGACTCTAGTGAACGGTTCGCCGTTCAGGTGGATTTTAAACAGCCAACACTCATATCAAATGGACACATGGATATGGCCAACAATCAACGCTGGTATGAACAATTCTGAACTAGAAACGACACCGCCACTGACTAAAAAAGGCCAAGCATCCAGAGTCTATGTGGAATTCGGGACCAGAGGAAGCACCCGTGACGATGCGGGTGAGGTCTACTACAGTATCGATGAAACATCGGACAAGTTCACAGTATTGAGTCGAAAGCCTTCAGACTACAAGCTCACCATATCTTTGGACGGTATGTCGACGAAGCAGAGTTCGCAAGGAGCAAAGATCGACCTGGGCTTTCGGCACAACGCTGCAGTCAACTGGATCATGTCTGTGGACGAAGCAGGTAATTGGTGGTCGAACAGCGGTACGTATTCGGATTGGATGCAGCAGAGCCTGGGCTCGTTGGCGAATAGAACCTTGAAGCACATCTGCATGCCGGGCTCTCACGATGCAGGCATGGGTACCTTCAAACCTGGTACCATCGGTGCGCACTTTGCGAACACCCAGACACAATACCTAGATTTCTATCAACAACTAATGGCCGGATCGCGGTATTTTGACCTTCGTCCAGTGCTCTCTCGAGGGGAATGGGTAGCCGGTCACTATGGCCAAGTTGGCGACATCTGGCTTGGTGGTAATGGGCAGACGCTTGAAGAGATCATACGTCAGATCAACGACTTTACAGCAGATTACCAAGAGCTCGTCATCATAAATTTAAGCCACACGCTCGACACAGACAACAAGTACAAAGACCTTACCCAAACGCAATGGAACGATCTCTTCACCACACTAAAGAGCATCAACGACCGCTATATTCTCGAAAACCCAGGCACCACTGATCTCTCTGATAAACGCTTAGGAGAATTCATCACCGACCGTGCTTCAGTCCTCGTGGTCGCCCAGATACCTGAAGGTATAACACTGGGCGACTTTGCAAGCCAGGGTTTTTACTCCGGTCGTAATTTTCCGTTCTACGACGAATACAGCAATAGCAACAACCTTGCCAACATGAAGAGCGATCAGTTAGCCAAACTAAAGCAGAATCGAAACATCGTGGGGGAAGAAAATGAGAAGAAGGATGCTTTCCACATCTTCTCCTGGACGCTGACGCAACAACCTGAAGACGTACTGAATTTTGACAAAGCCATCATGTTCGTAATCCGTCTTCACTGCCTACAATTTCTTCCCTGGACTAACATGACACATAGGAATATGGCCGCGTCAGCCTTCGATGATCTAATAAGCGAAGCCTGGAACGCTTTTACGCCGCAAAGCTTCCCAAACGTATTGTTCGTAGATAGTCTTGGAGTCAGGGATAAGAGTGTGGTTTTCCCGTTTGACAGACCAAAGCAGGGGTTACAGCCCAACTCAGATATTGCTGCATTTGCTGTTGCAGTAAACAACGGGATCGCGGGGAAGAACGGGATTGTCACTGGGAGACAACTGAAAAGGGGGACGTAACGTCTGGAATAGCTAAGTATGTTGAATTGCTTTTGATAATTTGAGAACAGACTTCCTCCTCAGTCTTACACAAGATCCGAAGCGAAGTATTAAACTTACGTGAATGTTTGTAGGAACGTTGTAGTCAGACAAGGCATTCAGCACCCCGCACAGCATCTTGAAGTTTTTGGCCGATACCTCTCCGTGGTGATGATCCTTTTGCCCAATCGAGTCGAGCTATCGGTGCAGAGTGTCAAGTGTGACTGTGGTTGATCTATGACGCAGAATATGCACACGAAAGTATGCCACTGGCGCGAGATATTCGTGGTTCATGGATCGCGTTTGTCCGCCTGCAGTGCTTCTTGCTAGACCTTCCTTATTTCTTCGGTCTGACTCCATTCCGGACAGGAAGCCTCACGAAATCTTTGTTTACAAACACGGATGTCAGGCATAGGGCCAATAGTAGATCTTGACGAACATATCCGACTCTACATCCACATCGCATCTCGATATCGATAGACGTTGCGATGATCTACATTTGTCATGTTGTTCTTCATAATTCCGTGCAGGTCCCTGATGTCGGTGATCTACGACTGATCAGCGGCGGGACGACAATCCTCTGTGCGACAACGTTGTGTGCCGCTCGTGCATGTAACCGATGCTGATCTTCGATGTTAGGTTCGACCTATCGCCTTACAGTTCACTCATTGTATAACAAAGTACGTCTGGCGGACAAGGAAACAAATGTTAGTGGAGGAAAAAGTAGACGTCCTCACGGTGCAACACGCCCAGACAGACTACGACCCCTGAGGCATTCATGTACATTAACTTCTCAGGCTGCAGCCGACGTGCTCATCATGCAATACGAGTATTTGCGGGTATACGGCATGCGCCAAGTGCCACGAGATGCAACGGCAGAGCAAGTGCTTGTTCTTGCTTAGCAGAAGAAGCGATACGGGTAGGGGACGCCTTGTTTCTCCACATGATTTCCTTGGCTCAATCGCCCCTTGGAGACGCTATATCCATCGTAAGGGAAGAAAAAGAATATATGACCGCAGCTGGATATCGATAATGTGGAGGCTGCAGGGCCGTCCTATCCGGTTCTGGCCTTATGTGTCAGGGTAAATTATTAGCCCATGAGTAGGATGTATGAGTGGCACAAGGGTCAGTGGTGATGCCTGCCATCCCAGCTCACGCGGCACCGGGAGGCGGAGGTTGAGATATGCGATCGGGAATTCTACCAGTCGCGATACAGGCCGCAAACGATCCTTCTCCACCGTTGGACTCCGTAAGCCTAAGAGTTGCTAAGAAATGGTCGTGCTGTACCTTGCGCACGAGAAGAGTTTGTCTATCGCAATTTTGTTTTGGCGAGTCAAGCCGCCGGCACGAGGCTGAAGAACCTAGTCACTTGAGCAAAAGCTTGTCTCGCAACAGAAAAGCAATATGCTCAAAATAGACTCGGGCTTTATTCCTTGCGGTATTCCCGAAGTGCATACAGTAGAGCTGTTCTATGAGACTATGGAGTGGTGGAGGTTTTGGAGAGGCTGCCTGAATCAGATGTACGAGTGGTTAGCTGCATGGAGACAGAGAGGGGATACGAGGTCTTCCCGTCCCCCTTGATTCCAATCGTCTCGATGCAAAAAGTATTGATTATTGAGCGGCTTGCTTTCGTGGTTGCGTGTTACAATGCGCCATTGCCCTTTGGCGTCGAGTCATCCACGTGGGCAAAGAGTGACGATTCGCGACGGTATACCGACAGAGCGAGGCGTTTGGCGGAAGCAAGTATGCCGTCCTGTTGGAGGGTGGGAGCGATTAGTATTGAGTCTCGCTTGGCAGGGCACGTGATTGGCTCATCTCGTATCATCGGAAAGCCCACTTGACTCCAATTTTCCTCGGAAGCTGCAGGCGTCTGGACCACAGGGGGAGAGGAGACGTTCAAGGTAGTGGATTCGCGCAACATGCTACCTTTCGCGGAAGAAACTTAATGCAATTGCATGGCTTGGCTTGAAAGACTCGTACGACTGCCTACACGAAGACTTTGGTGGTGATGCGGGGCGGATCTCTTATCCCTAACAAGCTCCTCCAAGAGCTGCACCCGTCAGTTGGGCGTCCTCGGCAGCTGTTGCCAATGCGCCAGCGTATGTCGGTGCTTTCATGGCTCAACGCCATGGCTGACGCCCGAAGGGCTATCTGTTAGGTGCTGCACCATCAGACCGATCATGGAAGACGTCACATCGCCACGCGCTTAGCATCTTACAACAGCTAAATGATAATTTTCTAGCGTATAGGCACAATACCATCATCGCAACATGTTGAACAGCGACCGCGCGACGACCATGTATGCCAAGCAACCGTTAAGTGAGGGACAATGGTGGAGAACGTGTGCGATGAATCACTCATTGTTTCGAGCGATTGCCGGCCTACAGACGTCAGAGGCGTGTGGTAATAACATTTCGGATGGCACAGATGCCAAAACACGTTTCAAACGGCTTGGATCAACCATCATGATCTATTTTTCGCTCGACAACGTGATAGAGTTGATGGTTCCTGCATGGCAAAGGAGTCCGTGCTACTTACCACCCATGACGAAACGTCCCAATCGCGCATCATGTCCGCCCGAAGCGAAGCCGGCGCCGCGGGTCGACAGCTTGAAATCTGCCAGCCCCAGGGGCCCGCGGCACCAAGCTTCCTTTTCCCAGGCTGACCGGCACCTGCAGGCAAGTGTCGAGAGCGCTAGCCGTAACGCGAGTCAACATTAGCACCATGCCTTACGGGGGTTGCTGGCTGGCTGTCGATCATCTTCGTCCTTCATAAGATGATTCTGCCCGCACGCCTTGATGAGCTTTCTTGGTACCTTCTGTTCGAAGTTCTAATTCTACCTTACCTTCATCTTGACCATTCCTTCTTTTCGGTCCAAGATTCCCCAGTGTGTCGTCGATATTGACCACCACTATCCACTCGCTCACCTCTCTTGATCCGACCTACCAGATCAACACTTAATTCCGTAATTCGAACCGACCTTATTCTTACAACATGCACTACTCTACCGCTCTTGCTGCCGTTGCAGCTATTACTCCTTTGGTCAACGCTCATGGAGCTGCCCTACCCAACATCATTGGACTGAACCCCAGGGATCTCCGCGCTCGGGATTTGCTTTCTCGCACCGGAGCACGTTTTACTGGAGTCAACGAACTTCTCAAGCCCAAGACCCAGGTCAAGACTGCCGTCGTTGCCCGTCAGGATGACCGCCAGTGCGGTGCAGGTGTCGGCAACTGTCCCGCTGGCCAGTGCTGCTCAGAGGCTGGCTACTGTGGTACTGAGGACGACTACTGTTACTCTCCCGGATGCGACTACGCGCACGGCCCTGGCTGCCCTGAGAACGCAACTCCAGGTGGTACCAACACCTCTTCTATCGCTCGTCCCAAGCTCGGTAACGTCCAGTACGGTGGTGCTGGTATCTACGGTTGTACCACACCAGGTACGGTTGCTATTACCTACGACGATGGCCCACAAAAGGTCTTCACCAGCCACATTCTTGATGTCATGGCTTCGTACAACGCAAAGGCTACTTTCTTCATCACTGGAAACAACATCAACAAGGGACAGATTGACATCACCCCTGAGTTCAGCGATGTCCTCAAGCGCATGGACTCTGAAGGTCACCAGCTTGCTTCCCACACCTGGACTCATTTGGACTTGAGCGCCATCTCCCAGCAAGACCGTTACAACCAGATGATCAAGAACGAGATGGCTCTCCGCAACATTGTCGGCAAGATCCCCACCTACATGCGCCCCCCATACTCCAGCTGCACTGCTGAGTCAGGCTGCGAGAAGGACATGGCTGATCTTGGCTACCACGTCACATACTTCAACCTTGACACTGATGACTATGAACACGACAGCACCACTCTGATCCAGTACTCCAAGGACGTTTTCCTGGGCAACGTCACCAGCGGCCCCGCTGCCAGCAACCAATGGCTCGAGATTGGACATGACATCCACGAGCAGACTGCCATGAACCTTACTGAGTACATGCTCTCCACCCTTACCCAGCTCGGCTACAAGGCTGTTACCGTTGGTGACTGCCTCGGTGACCCCAAGGAAAACTGGTACCGCACTGCTGGTGGTGCTGGCTCTGCCAACCCTACCACTTCTGCTACTGCCCCCGCTGCCACTGGAACCAAGCAAGTCACCACCGATGCTACTTGCGGTGGAACCAAGGGATACACATGCCTGGGATCTTCGTTCGGTAACTGCTGCAGTTCTTCCGGTTACTGCGGTACCACCTCAGCCTACTGCGGAACTGGTTGCCAGTCTGGCTTCGGTAACTGCGGCAGCAACGGCGTCGCTCCTACCACCACCAAGGCTACGTCGACGACCAATGCTGCTACCACCAGTTCCAAGGCCCCTGTCGCCTCTGCTGCAGGCAAGGTTTCCACCGATGGCTCATGTGGCGGTGCTTCTGGCTTCACCTGCGCCGGCTCAACCTTCGGTAACTGCTGCTCCCAGTACGGCTGGTGTGGAAGCACCACCGACCACTGCTCTACTGGCTGCAACTCTGCTTTCGGTACGTGCTCTGGCACTGGAGCGTCTGCTACCAAGGCGGCTGCTACCACTACCACCAAGGCTGCTGCTGCCCCAACCAAGAAGGCATCCACTGACGGATCTTGTGCCGGAACCTCTGGCTTCACATGTGCTGGATCTTCTTTCGGAAACTGCTGCTCCCAGTACGGTTGGTGCGGAACCACCACCGGTCACTGCGGTACTGGCTGCCAATCTGGCTTTGGTACCTGCAACTAAGTCAACCCCACTTTTGCGTTTCCTCATTTAGTTGGAAGCAAGAATTCTGTATCAGGGGTCGATTAATCTATCGTCATCGAGACATGACGGGGCTAGCCCCGTGAACGACGCGACGAGGTTTATATAAAAAAAGGAACGATAGTTCTCAACTATATTCTTGTACATTACTCTTTTGTACTCTGCTGAATTGATTACTACCGTACAATTCCTGTGTCAGATGTCGCAGGTTGGCTGAGGACGACGAAAAGAAGTAGCAAATCGCGTAATAGATCATGACAACCATCGATACACAATACCCATCATTCACTATCAATCGCATTACCTTTCCACTCTTTTGTTCCGTACAGTGACACTTTTATCGACTGCCAGTTTATGTTTAGAAGTGTGCCATGATTATTCACTCAAGGTATCTAGCTCTCAACTTGATCATCACGTCGTCTCATGGAAGCGTTTGTGCCGACCGAAATGTTAACATGTAGGGTACGCTATCACCCATTGTGTCATGGCAGCGTTTTGTAATGAAGAAATGCAAGCGGAAATTGGTTGTGCCGGCCAGCGGTTTCATTGAAAAGCGAGTGTACATAGACAAGCACCAATGAGATACATGTAAGATGCCCGTGAAAGCCTTTTGTCTCAGCCTACATTAAACACTGCAGGTCTAATGTCGATGGACCACTGTCCGTCTGAGCCCCTTACTTCTCGCACTCCTCGATCATAGAATGATTCTCAGATTGTCCACTACTGTTTTTATTCGGGGCAGACGTTGTTTTCGACCAGGAAGTTATTGAGGGCGTCAATGCATCCGGCGCAGGGGCAGATCTGAGATGATTAGTAGATTGCCTTATGTACAAGAGGATCTGTAAAGATGGTAAATCACGTACCGAAGGAGCACCACCACCAACACAAGCCAGAACTGCGGGAACGGCACCTGGAACTGCGAGTGCTCCAGCAATACAGGCGCCAGCAGCGACTACAGCAGCGCAGTCAAAGAGACTGCAGTCGGCTTGCTGGGCAGCGAACGCAATGACGTTGGTCATCTCCTGGCTTTCGCGCTTGGCGATGGAGTTCGGGGAGGCGACGGCCAGGCCGGCGGCGAGTACAGAGACGGTGATGGTTGAGAAACGCATATTGACTGATTTGTAAGAGTGGTGTGTTTAGCGAAAGGCTGGTGAAGTAGTTTGATGTTATGATGATGGAGCTTGATGAGTCCTTTCAAGTCGAATTCTGGACATCCTTTATACTTGTTCTTCCTCGCCTCTCTCTCTATATTTCTGTTTCCCCGTCACCGCCTTATTTGATCGGTAAGCTCTTCCAGTCTTTCCAGGTGGATGTGTGGTTAACAAAGTCCTAACTTGGGTCACTGTCTCGGGGTTCGAGGTCTAGCATGAGGCTACTACCACATCTTCGTTCGTCGTCGTGCCCACTCAACGTCCTTCATTCACTCACCGCGCTGATTGAATAGCACTAATGATGCCTATACGATCTTTCTCGAATAGCAATGACGGTGGGGGTAAGCTGATCGCATAACAGGCGGAGGTTCGAGGCGTCGAGACACGAAGGCGATGTTCCGAACAATACCTTTGTGGGCGTAGTAGCTAGCATATGAATCTCAAGGGCAAAGTCTGCTGTGATGATTCGTCGTTTTCATGACCCCAAGAACCTTGGCATAGTGAATGCAGACATGATCTGCTGAGGTTACACAACAGTTAATATGGTTATATTGATGCGATCCGGTCAGACTGGTAGCAAAACCTTCTTCTGTACATCCTGTGTCTTACTTCGGCCTGCAGGAGAGGCACTCCTCGCCCCGAAGCGGCTGTGGTTAGGGAATGGGATACAGCGAGGTTGATCGCATACGCTGACTGACCACTGGTTCAAATTGTTGCTAGCATTAGGCGGTCAATGAAGATGAGCTGCTTACTTTATCTTGGCTTCCAGAGGGGCGGTCATTACGTACAAACTCTCCAGCCTTGACCTTGCTCTGGTTCGGTTACTGGCCTGTTCGACACTCTTGTCTCTCATACATTCGTACCGGATGCAATTTTGCTGTTACGTGCTTTGTCTGATTGTAGGTCGATGAGACTATAAGTTCTATTATCGGCACAATATACAGCAGGCTAAGGTAATGACAAACATGAATCTCACTAGTCGCCCAGACTTTCGTCAGTATGCAAAGGGAAGAGCCGTCCATATCTACTTTGCCGGGTACGAGGTGTAAGCAAATGCTAACGTGATCCGGTCGAGGAGTCATTGCTGCTGCATCTGTTGATTCAATAGCCCCACGTGTTCGGAATGTCGCGCACGTCGTATGGTCCGTTGGGCTCTGCGTCCTGCTCAGCAGAGTAAACAATATTAAAACATAAGACAAGCTGGCATACCACGCTCAGTTCACCGAAGACTAAGCAGGTTGCATGCGAAGAGCCGAAACACATGTCTTGACTCCAGTCAGAGTGCGCTTGATGAAGCCAAACAGAGACGACCACAGGAATGGACACCCCTGACGATTTGCTAGACATGGCCGTTCAACTCAGCCAATTGGCATCATCATTATGCCGGACCTCTATGATGTGGTCATACAACTCCTTTTTTCGTTTTCTAACTGGAATCATAGTTGAGCAAACAATGACGGAGAGATGGGTTGTGATTATACAAGTTGTATATGAAACCGACCCCCTACTTTCAAAGTTGGCAAGATATGTCTTTTCACGAACTGCACGTGCGACATAAATCAAATTTTGTATGCGCACCTTTCAGGTTGTGCTGTTTTGAACGTTATTGTTGCAAGTACATACAAAGCCTCTTGGGACTAGGGCTATGCATACCAATGGACTTGATGAGGCATACCCGTTGGAGAATTTGATATAGTTCCAACTAAACCAATCTCTCGAGTTGCCATACGAGGGACTATCGGCGGTCAAGTTGAGGCATGTGAACAAAAGCTGTTCTGCACAAACTTGATATTGGTGAAGCGTAGAGACTTGTCCTAGTCCTCCCTTGAAATTTGGATCTCGATGGCTGCAGAACAACGCGAAAGATTTGGGCGCAAGTCTGAAATAGAAGAACATCTTTCTGAGAGGTCTTGAAGCTCGATAGAGGAAGGGTTCCCTGTGATGGCAAAAACAAAAAGAAAGGCGCTCCTATCGGCCATTACCCGGAAATGACCATCCCAAAAAAATCGTTTCAATTGCCTTCCGCCAGAATTGAACTGACGACCTCGTCATTACTAGTGACGCGCTCTACCACTGAGCTAGGAAGGCTTTGATGAAGAGTCAAGCATTTGAAACATTAATATATCGCGTCGTAGGCTTGCCGCTGGTTGGTGCTGCATCGGGGTGGCAGAACCTCACCTGATGCAATAGCAGGACCCGCTTAGCTTCGGATAGCAGCATCGCGCACCTTCCTGCTAGTGACTCAGTTGCGCAGTCGCTCTTAAAAAATGCAGAGGAGTCGCAGGGAGCGTAGTGTGATGGACGAAGAGTGTACTTGTCTTGTGGCGCCCCCTATGCCGTCATGCACCGTGCCTGCCTTGCTGTTTGTTAGGCATGTCATTCAAGACAGGGGGCCGCTAGCTATCGTTGAGGACTATTGCTTGTGGCTTCGTTTGGCCATAGCAATGGTTCAAGTCGGTTCACGGCAGCAACTGTATAGCCTTGCCGCGTCGAATTGTTTGCGAGCAAAAAACGCGCTCGACGAGCGTCGCACAGTCTGTTTGGCGCCTTGAGACGCGCTGGCGGTTTCAATTTCAAGGCGTATTGTATCGAACAAGGTCGATGATGGTCGCATTACAGTTGCCAGCGCATGACTTTGGTAAGACGCACCAAGCCTGGAACATGATGTAAACGAAGCACGGGGTAGGGCTCCGAGTGTTTTGTGGAGAAGCAGACGGAGTCTGGGGCGGGTGACGAGTTAAGCGCAAGCTCATTTCACATGCCACCGCAGCCAGGTCGCCAAGGCACCAAATTAAGAAAGCGAGCGATTTGAGCCTCTCCCGCTGATCGCGGTCCTTTCTTCCAGCACCCCTTCAAACACGCCTTTTCACTACACCGCGACACACCAACAAGACAGATTTACTGCCAGGCTCCGAATCCTGGCCTCGATTATCACCATTCCCGATATTCCAACACGACCATCTATGGGCTCTGCTTCCTTCGCCGTAACCACTTTCCTCCCCACCGTTCAGCTTACCGCAGTTGGCACCCTCTTTCCGTACAGCGCACTGAGCTCGGGTCTGAACAGGACGGACGCCTCTTTCGCATCGCTGGTTCGGCTAGGGGTAGGAGTTCCGCCGTGAATATTCGCGGCGGACTGTAGTATTGGTCTGCCCAAGACGGGCATTGGATGTGCGCGCAGTTCCCTCTGACAGGGGCGCAAATGCTAATCATGAGCAGAATTCGCGCGCAGCCTGAAGACTGACGAATTTATATCGTATTACCCCACCACTACCGCTGTCATGGTTTTCGCATTCGACCAGAACGATGCGCACCTTCCAGCCAATGCGCTGCCAAATCCCGAGCCTGCCGTGCCTGACGATGCCGACATGTTCGCACCTGGGAACATGGACATGAGCCCCCCGAACGTGCCCCTCCATGTGGGCACTCCGCCGATCAACATCGTCAGCCCTATGCCCAAGCGCGCAGTGCAGCCCGATCCCGAATGCAAGCAGCAGGGTCCGGACAAGTTGGATTTCGACGCTGTCATGAGGAAGGCCCAGAAGAACAAGAAAAAGAAGAAGAAGGGTCTGAAGGCAGGCTTACAGGCTACGAGTGTCACCCGGGGTTTCCACACTCCAGTCACGTCTGGTGGGGAAGAGTCGGATTATTCTCTGGCGACTACACCACGTTTTGGCCCTGTTCGCTCCGGACTCCCAAGCGTGACCAGCAGCCCAGCGCTCCGCCCCCAGTCCACGGCAGGAGGCATCAGCAACCTCAAAGCCCAACTCGAGGCGCTCAATCTAGGTCCGAGGAGCGACTCCCCCATGAAGGATTACCCAGGAAAGGGCGTGCCTATGAGCAGAGTCACGTCGCAGTTGTCGAGCAACACCAGCATGTCAGGCCGGGAAAGCGACAGTGATCGTACCGAGATGGAGAGCTATGAAATCGACCTCAACGCCGAAGACTTCAGCGTTGATACGCTCTCCAAAACCTCGACCATGTTGAACAATGGCATGGCGCGTAAGATGACGGCAGAAGACTTCGAGCCGTTGATGTGTCTGGGCAAGGGCAGCTATGGCACCGTCTTGTTGGTCAGGCAGCGCGCCACAGGCCGTCTTTTCGCGCAGAAGCAGTTCAAGAAGGCCTCCATCACTGTGCATAAGAAGCTCATAGAGCAGACCAAGACGGAGCGCAATGTTCTCGAGAGTGTGAACCGCCACCCATTCATCGTCAACTTTTACTATGCTTTCCAAGACCAGGAGAAGCTGTACCTCATCCTCGAGTATGCCCAGGGAGGCGAGCTGTTCCACCACCTCGAAGCCGAGCGCATGTTTTCTGAAGATGCAGCAGCCTTCTACATGGCCGAAATGGTGCTTGCGCTCGACCACCTTCACCGCACAGTCGGCGTCATCTACCGTGATTTAAAGCCAGAGAATTGCCTTCTAGATTCCGAGGGCCACCTGCTCCTCACCGACTTCGGCCTAAGCAAAGTCAGTCTTGATGAAGACAACCCCTGCCGCTCCTTCCTCGGCACCGTAGAGTACATGGCCCCGGAAGTAGTCCAAGGCCTCGAGTACGGCGCGGCAGTCGACTGGTGGTCCCTAGGTGCGCTTGGTTTCGACCTCCTCACCGGTGCTCCTCCCTTCACTGGTAACAACAACGCAAAGATCCAGGAAAAAATCGTAAAACAGAAACTTTCATTGCCTTATTACCTTAGCGCCGAAGCCAAAGACCTTCTCACCCGCCTTCTCCGTAAAGACCCGAAGAAACGCCTAGGATTCAACATGGCCAAGGACCTGCCCAACATTAAGAAACATAGATTTTTCCGCAAAATCGATTGGAAGAAGTTGGAGGCGAGGGAGTTGACACCGCCGATTCAACCACTTATCACAGACCCGGAGTTGGCAGAGAACTTTGCTCAGGACTTCACCGATCTTCCGCTGAGCCCTGTTCTGACAAAGAAGTTTGATGACTTGATGTTCGAAAGTCAGAGCCAGGCTTCTAGCAATCCTTTTGGTGGATTCAGCTTTGTGGCTAGCCAGAGTCTGTTGGATAGTGGAGAGTGGGGATACTAACTGGATGCAGAGGTTTGTCCAGTTGCATTGTTTCACCGTGTTGTGTATTTGGGTTTTGCATGTTGTTTACATTGTTGGAGAGAAAGAGTGTAATAGAGGGTTATTGCTTCGTCATATTTCATTCGATGAGTATGTCATCACTACACAACAGCACACAAGTCACTTTCAATGGTTACTAGATAGAATTCTTTTCTCGTAGGCTGAATAAACCATCTCCTTCCAACTCCATGCTCGTGCCGTCATCGGTATCATGCGCAAGTATTCATACAGACTGTAAACCAAGTGGGAATCGTAAAACCGAAAGAAAAGCCATTGCAGCTCTCCGCTGTCAGCACAATAGTGTTTGCATCTAGGAAGTAGGAGCGGCAGCAGCAGCGTAGGAGTCTGCGCTCTTCTCGCTCTGACCCTGGGCGGGCTTCTCGCTGCTCTCGGCGGTAGCGGCAGCACCCTCCTGACCAGCAGGCTTCTGCTTTTTAAGGTCTGCCAAATGCCTGGCCTCGTTGTGGACGTCCATGACAGTCTTGTTTCCCTGGTCGTAGAAAGCACGAAGCTTCTGTCCAGTGGGTGTAGATGCGGCCTTGTCAAAGTAGCTGGTCATCATGTTGAAGGCAGCGTAGCCCTTGTTTGTTACGCCCAGCTTCTGGTCGACGACTTGCGCCTTCTGTGTAGCCTGGGTCTTTTGGTCGAAGTTGTTGAGGATGTTCATGAACTTGGTGCTGTAGCCGTTTTGCTTGTCTGCTGCAAGAGCCTTCTCGATGGCCTTGTCGGAGATGGCATAGCCGTGGGCGAGGTACTCGGCGATGATGCGTGCGCGGGGCTTCTGCTCCTGCTCGATGTGGTGGTCGCCGTCCTTGGCGTCTTCGGCGGCGGCAGACTTCTCGCCGGCAATCTCGTCGAGGCTCTTAGCTGATGTGACCTGGACCGAGTTGTGTCCAAGCTGGGTGTTGTCGAGGAGAAGGGCGGTCTTGGCGGCAGCGGCCTTCTCAAACGTGACGGAGGCTGACTGTGTGTCGTCGCCCGAAGGCTTCACGCTGAGCGACTGAATCTTTCCGCAGAAGGAAAAGAAGCTCTTGATCTCATCCTCGCTGGTCTTGGTGGAGATGTTCTCGACGTTGACGGTGGCAGCCATGTTGACGTATATGTAGGGTGGGGTGGTTTGAGAGAATTGGGTGGTAAGGGTATAGTAGTTGAGAAGAGTGCAATGATTCTATGAGTGATGTAGTAGACTACGTGTTGGAGACAGGGTCTATTTGTAGTGGTCGAGGGGTGTAAGAAGCCAGTTCAGGGAGGGGCGCAGCCTGGCAACGCATGGGCTGATGACGTCGCGCGGGGCGGTGCTAGTGGCGTCTAGATGCCCACGCTCTAGGGCTGGCGGGAAGCTTCACGAAGCGCTGCTTGGGCTGTCTTGCATGTGAATGCCTACCACCACTGGTTGCTTCTTCACACACACAACTGACTGCGCATGTCGTGGCTACATGCCATCTATACACGAGTACTCTCACGGGCACCTGTCTCTAACAGTCCATTAAGAAGTAAATCCTTGGGTTTAGAGACGCAATTAGGGGTGGGATGTGAGGCACTGCACTACTCGAGCGTATAGAGAGCATAAATCCAGCATTGGTATGCACTCGCACGTCAGGACCCTATGTAGATATGAACCTGATGGGGACGTGATGCCTACCGTGACGCTCCATTGCTCCACCAAACCTCGGCTTTAGCAACGTCATAGCTCCGTCTTCTCAAAACATCTTCCATGAGCTCCACCAGCTGCCAACTCACACAACAGTCGCATAGCGCCTGCATCATTCACAATGGCTTCCAGACTGCTTCCGGCGTCGCCACGATTAGCGCAGTCATGTCTGCGTCGCACGCGACATCTAGCACCGACCGTATCTCGACTCCCACAGCGCCGCTACATCTCCGCATACGGCTACGAACAAGCCAAAGCCCTCACTTTCTCAGACTATGGCGAGCCTCCAGCAGTGCTCTCTCTTCACGGTCATTCCATCTCGCCACCACATAGCAACTACATGACGCTGCGCTTCCTCGCTTCGCCCATCAATCCCGCCGACATCAACCAGATCCAAGGTGTATACCCTTCCAAGCCAACCTTCACAACAAACTTGGGCACCCCCAACCCAATTGCTGTCGCTGGAAACGAAGGTGTGGCAGAAATCATAGCACTTGGCGAGGGTGTCAAGAAAGAAGGCTTCAAAAAGGGCGACTGGGTCTTTATGAAAGGTCCTGGCTTCGGTACATGGCGAACACATGCAAGCGCCACGACCAACGATGTCGTCAAACTCGATGACCAGATGCGTGAAGGAATTACCGCTATTCAGGCCGGCACCGTATCCATAAACCCATGCACAGCATACCGCATGCTGCGCGACTTCACAACCCTCTCCGAAGGCGACTGGTTCATACAGAATGGTGCAAATTCGGGTGTCGGCCGCGCAGCTATCCAGCTAGGCAAGAAATGGGGTCACAAGAGCATCAATGTGATTCGTAGCCGGGAAGACAAGAGCAAAGAAGAAGCCATGAAGAAAGAACTGCAAGATCTAGGTGCAGACGTCGTAATCACAGATGCAGAATTGCAGTCTCAGGGCATAAAAGACCAGGCCAAGGAATGGACCAACGGCGGCCGCGCGCCTATACGCCTGGCTCTCAACTGCGTGAACGGCAAGGCAGCCACCGCCATGGCTAAGCTGCTTTCCTCGTCCTCACACTTCGTTACCTATGGCGCCATGTCTAAGCAACCCTTGACCATTCCTGCTTCCATGCTCATCTTCAAGGACATCCATTTCCACGGCTTTTGGGTGAGCAGATGGGCAGAGAAACATCCAGAGGAGAAACAGAAGACTGTTGCTGACGTGCTGGATATGACAAGAAAGGGCGAGTTCAAGGATACGCCTGTTGATGAGATCAAGTGGGAATGGGATACCAAGGGCGAAGAATTGATAGGAAAGGTGAAGGATACACTGGAGGGGTACAGGGACGGCAAGGGCATTTTTGTGTTCGGTAAGACGTAAATTATATACCCTTCCAAATAAGAGGCATACATTTCACGGCGTATATACGTCTAGCTATTGAAAACTGTGAAGTTATGATCTATTTTAGATGTTCTTACTGCAAGAAAACCCTCGAACCGTTATTAGGCAAAGGCGCCCTGAATAGCACAAATGGTCGTTCCCTCCGATCCGTGCCAGGGTAAAAGGCCGAGCTGAAGGCAAGCTGGTTGTCGGTAAAGTAAAGGTAACCATCGCTTCCGACAGACACTGTATAAATTAACCTCGTTCAGTATGAGCAGTATCAAGAAGGACTCACTGGTATCCACCCAACTAATCCTTGGGTCCCTCACAAACAGCGTCATAGACGCGTTCATCGGGTTGTGAAACCCGATTTCATTTTGCTCCATATCTATTACGAGTGAACAAAGTCAGTGTATATCTCACATGCAGTTTTTACAGGGATACTTACTACCCGCATAGATGAAGCCATTGGTGTCCGTCTCAAATCCATCACTAACACCCCTTTCTCCCTTGTTGTTCACGGCACCCAGCGCCAAGAGCTCAGAAGCTTGACTGCGGTCCCGTAGGCGCTCAGTAGGGATACTGTACAATGTGCGTCCACCAACGGGGCCAAAGTACAAGTATTCACCATCAGCTGACAAGGCGATACCATCGCTACCCAACGGTACAGTGGTAAGCGGTTGACCAGGACCGGGAATGTAGTAAAGCGGTTGACCCCAGACATATGGAACGAACCCCCTCTCAGCCCTCGTCTCCTTTGCACCATCGAGGTGGCGCCAGCTCTCGCCTGTGCCTAGATCTACGATGATGATTCCATTGCGGCCTTCAGACGATGAGTCGGTGATGTAGGCTACTCCTTTGCCAGAAGCAGAGACGGAAGGTCGCAAGTCGAAGCGGACATCATTTAGGTACGAGTCTGGGAATGCTACCGTGGGTGGGAAGACTATAGTCTGAATCACTGTGTCAGACTCAATGTCTACTCCAACAAGCTTGGGACCGCCAGGAGACGCATTGACTAATGTACCATCTTCAGTCAATGCGCGTCCCGTATCTAAGATCCATAGGCGATCTTGGGGATCCAAGACTACGCTCTGTACGCCGATGAGGTAATTCTGGTAGTTTGCACCAGTCGGCGGAGTTGTTGTGTAGTTGATAGCTCCATTTGGCGGGTTGTTAATCTCCACGCTAGGATAGGGTGTCTCGGTGCCGTTAGTCGTGAGCTCTGCCACGGCATACTTGTTATTGGTACCCGTATTTGTGTTATTAGCATCTAGGCCTGCCGGATAGTTCGAGAACTTGCGGCCGCCTTTCGATACGGTGATTCCTTTGCTTTGTGTTAGTGGCCATAAATTTGCAACGCTGCCAGAGTGCATTGGTACCGGTAGGCCATTGGTCGTTGTACAGATGCACAATCTCAAGAGCTGGGCCAGCGACACCGGGATCAGAGCGAATGCGCTGTGCACCGGATAGTGCAGGAAGCAAAGTGCTCAACGTCAATACAAGAGGGGACAACATCATGGACGCGACAAGATTCTGTTGACATGTAACGACCACGGCACAACGCCTGACAGGCAGTATATATAGCCTCGGAGCATCCAAGCGCGAACTGCAAACATTACCTCAGACGGTACCTGGACATCTGGGCATTGCTAGTCTTCACGTCATGTACATGTCAGGTACCAGGATAAAATCGAGCAACTACCTAGGTATGGATGATCTTTGAGGCTGCATATAGGGAAGCTACCCGCTTACGGCTCAGGATCGACGGTGCATTTCCCCGCTTTTGTGATGCAATACCATTTGGCGCACCAGCACTTCGTGAGCGGAAAGAGTGCCGTGGTTGACATGGATCCTTGCGGATTGGAAAGGTCTTTAATTCTCTCTATTTCACGATCCTTTCCACGATAATGTTTAGCCAACCCACTCTTGCACAACTTCTTTCAAAGATGTACTACCAGCAGCTCCGCTCCAAACATGCGATTGCTCACTGTCTCCTGATTCTGCTATGGTATCGACAGCCAGAGCAGTAACCTTCAATTCCCCATCATTGAAATCGACTTTGATATCCTTGGTGAGCTTCGTGCCTTTCTTACTGTCCTTAGTTCGAATCGAGAGCCGTGGATCCTGGGTTCTCGTTTGCGCGCGTGAAGCATACTCACCCTTCAGAAGTCTATGCGCAATATGCAGGGAGAGAATCCAGTCGAGATATGACTTCAACTCTGTAACACTATCAAACTTGTGTTGCTGGAACAATCCGATATCGGAAGTCAAAGTGGATGGAAGTGTAAGCTTGTGCTCTGTGCCAAAAGTCGGTTGACCGATGATCGTGCGTGTGACAACGATGAGATTTTCCGGCTGTGCACTGTTGGAGGTGGGGAGGGTCAATGTAGCTTTCCCATCGAAAGGCTTCATGAAAATTTCGAGCAGCTGGTCGGTTGCAGACAGACCCTTTCTTGACGTCGTTTTTAGGCTCTCTACGAGGTTCGCCCAGGATGTCTCACGCGTGGTCTCCAGTGTCGCATCAAGGCCTGCACCCTTCAGAGTCTTTGTGACCAAATCGAGGTAAGCATAGAGTGAGTCAACACCAGCGATGTGGTTAAGTATTGCGAGAAGCGTACGCAGTAGAGGCGGTGGTAGCTTCTCCCGTGTCTGGCCGGTCAATGGAGGTGGAAGCTGCGATCTCCGGTGTAGACGCATGCTGTGCTCATGAGCGAGGAGCAAGCGAAGCGCTTCAGCGATATTGCGAGCGAGCCAGTCGTGCTCATGACCTTCGTTGCTCGCTATAGGATCGTCTCGAGGTATGCAATCAATGAGCAACTTTCGGTCCTGGAATGCACTACCCATTTGGGGCGCATCTATGTGGATGACTGAGTCCCGAAATGCGACACCATACGCCAAGAGCTGCCTCGTCTCCAAGCTCATTTCATAATACAGTTCTTCCTCGAGTAGGGAGTCACGCGCAAGTTGAATTGACTTCTCGAGAGACCGGGTTGCAAAATCGCCGTCGACAGGGATTTGTGATGTACCTGTAATCTTGCCGTCGATGCTGACTCGCACGCGAAATGTTTTAGGCTTCAACGCAAGAGCTGGATCTAGTATGATACTTCCATCTTTGTCCATCTGGAGAGGTGCGAATCCACGGGCCTTGAAATGGTCGCTAGCTAGAATGTCGTCAGCTCAAATTCAGCATGCGAGTTAATAAGCAGTCCATACCTTCGGGAAGTCCATATCGCACAGCAAAAGGCGCATGGCGCACGTTCTGGCGTAGTCGCTGAATGGGCCACCCTTTGTCAGAGACGGACACAATCTCATGCCAGTATTTTGTCTCGCGGCGTATCTCTTTCTCCAGGTGTTTTGCGGCCTTTAGTATCTCGTCTACCGACGAATCCAGTGCTCCCATGCGTGCGCCTTGAGCCGCTGCCTCTTGCTTGGATGCCAGGTCTTGGAGACGGTGCTGTTCTTCCACTTTACGAGTACGGTGTTCATGGTTCTCCTTGCTGATGCCGAAGGAGCCGAGTGGTATGCCCTGGTTCAGGCCTTGATCGCGAAAAGTAGGGCTGAAAAAGTTCAGGCTGCGCTTGTTGGGGTCTTGAGAGAGTACGAGCGAGACGAGATCGAGCGCGTTGGTAGCAGCGAACTTGGCCCATCTATCTTTGGTCAGTCGTTGCATTCGGTATGAAGCATTCGCATCGAGACGTACTCCAGATGGCTGTACATTTCCTGTCCTGCCTTGAAGACCTTCTCCAGCTGTTCCTGTCGAGATGGCACTTCCTTGTCCTTCTTCTCGTCCTTTGCTCCTTCCTCAGCATCGGCTGGTACATGTTTGCCCGCGTCGATGTCTTCTTGGAGCGACTGTTCCGTGATGTTGCGCAAATGTCCCCGTTCACTGGCTAGCTGCTCGATCTTGAACAGCAAATCGTCCTGCGTCAGCTCCTCCTTCTTTGGGGCTGGCCATGGGCGCAGGGCCACGTTGTTGAGTGAGTCCATGGCGGTTGCGACGAGGTAAACACGGCGGGATAGCTGGGTTGAAGTTGCGTTGCTGTGGTTTGTCCGACGCGGTGGGCCCTTGCATAAAAGGCGTAGCTCTCAGTAGCGGCCGTTGTAGATCCCCGCTTATCGATTGTAGCTTCACCCTACAACCCACGAATCTCGCGCGTTGCACACGCAATCGGCAGGCAAAAGCAAAGTATCCGTCAAATCGTACGGCGGCTTACAAGCAGCTCTCGGGCGTTAGTCTGCCCTTGTGCGGGGACGACACGGTGTCACATGTGCATGGCCCCTTCCCACTCCAGCCACTAACGGCCGTCTCCGATAACCTTAGAAGCTTGGACAAGCAGCTTGTACACTGACAACTCACGGCTCACTGTTCCCTTCACTCTTCTCCATTCCCTTTCATCAATCGAGACATCTTCAACATGACTACACGATACCGCGTGGAATGTAAGTCAGAAACACTGCATTGTGCCCAAGAGGTCGGCATAGAGATAAGCACGCTAACTTGATGGCTTCCCGTGTGGCAGATGCCCTAAAAGTGTGTATAAAACACAGTGACTCAACTTCCATTTTCAAGAGACTGACACGTTTTGAAGACCCACAGGAGAGATCAACTCGTGAGTACCTCGTGTTGCATGACTGACATGTCCGGCTAATGCATGATACAGATAGAGTGGATTAAGGTATTGCTCTATCAACTTGAAAGACGATGCTGGACGACGTCTAATGCCATTCCAGGGCCTTCTAGCTGTACCTTTTGTCTTGCACTCGCATCCCACGGCGGTATTCGAGCCCAATGACGAGTCAGTCGAGCACCAAGCGAGCATTGCCCAACGGCGGTATGCAGAGATCTTACGAGACGTTGAGGAGATCATCAACGACCACAGTATGCTGCGACCTCAGGCGGGCTCATACGGCCTGCGACAGACTTTCGGGGCTAACCCAATGCAGTTCAACACCAGAAGGACGGCAAACCTGACAGATCAAAGCTGAAGCTTCTCGTTCCAACAGTAGCGAATTTCTTCACGTCCCTAGCGCTGCACGACGCTTTCATCTGGCAAGATCAAAGGCGTTTCATCAGCCACCGACGATTCGTCCCCCCTTCTTTCAACGACGTGCGTCTAGTTCTCAATACAGCTCAAGTGATGAGTCTCATCCGTAATGGCCCACTTGAACTCGTGACCTTTGACGGAGATGTCACGTTGTATGACGATGGCAAGGACTTGACAGAAGACAATCCCATCATTCCGAAGATACTGGATCTCATGCGCCGCGGATCAAAGATCGGCATCGTTACAGCTGCGGGGTATACAGAGGCAAAACCTTACTACGGCAGACTGTATGGACTCCTGGACGCTATTCAGGCTTCTGACCTGCCTCTGGAAGCTCGGCAGAATCTCATCATCATGGGCGGCGAGAGCAACTTTTGCTTCAAATTCGACGAGAACAGTCCAGTCCTGCTGCGCCTGATTCCCAGGGAGGAATGGCTGCTCAAGGAGATGCTCTCGTGGCACGAATCGGACATCAAAGACTTGCTTGATCTGGCAGAAGCGTCTCTAAGGGACACGGTTAGGAACTTCCGTATGGAGGCAGATATCGTCCGGAAGGAAAGAGCAGTAGGCATTGTACCCAAGGGCGGGCACAAGTTCTGCCGCGAGACGCTCGAAGAGACGGTTTTGATCGTGCAGAAGATACTTGTAGGTCTTGAGTAGATGCGCAATGTTTACGATACTAACTTTGCTAGGAAATATCTGAAGTCGGCCAGCGCCTCCCATTCTGCGCCTTCAACGGTGGCAACGACGTGTTTGTCGACATTGGAGACAAGTCATGGGGTGTTCTAGCCTGCCAGCGAATCTTTGGGGGGATTGAAGGGAGCAAAACGCTGCATGTAGGAGACCAGTTCTTGAGTGCTGGAGCAAACGACTTCAAGGCGCGATTGGCGTGTACGACGGCGTGGATCGCGAATCCGCAAGAGACGTGCCAGCTGCTCGATGAGATTACCGAGTTGGACGAGGTGCACCAGCGCAAGACAAGATGAAGGCGTGCATGATCAGGTTGTGCATGGCAATGACATCAGAATGCTCCGGAAGCTACGGCAATAGGGGCAGGCAGGTTGCGCGGCAGGTTGACTTTTGCAGGGCATATGGCTACAGCATGTGTTTGATGCGTGTCGGCGAGGAAGCGACCGGCGCCTAGATAGCCGTTGAAGAGGATTGATAAAGGGTGCCAATAAATAGATATGCGGAGGCAGATGGCGACATACACGATGTGCGCTCGGAACGGCTCTTCTGCAGTATGCCCTGACCCTGACCCTGACTCGGGCGGGCGACCCACAGCATTCTCTGGTACACAGTCGCGCTAGAAGGCCGTCGGTGACGCGGAAAAGGCACGCCTTCACTCGCAGCTGCACGACGGTTTTTTGACGCGCGTGTGTTTCGTGAGCGTCTTGTTTTTTCCGTGTGTTTGAGGGCCAGGACGGGCTGGGGTTCTGGGGAAGGTTCGAGGCTGACCCGCCGCATCCGCTGCGCCTCTCGTGTCGTGCAAGGCGCTGATCCCTGCTAACCGTCGTGTAATCCCTGGCCCGTACTCCACTTCACGAAAGCACCTCCTGAGCTTCCACCCGCCTGCGGCTTCTGCGACCCTCTCTCATCTATTGCCGCGTCGCTCCCAGCCCTCAATTGCCTCCACTCCAGCTCAACCCGCGTCGGTCTGCCACACATCGCAATCTGCCATACGAGCGTGTAAACAAGACATCGCAATGGGCTCCAACAAGTTCTCTTTCAAGCCACTGACGCTTGCGCCCATCAACTTCTCTCTGACCGAGGGCACTTCGATACCTGCGCCGCTCGACAGCCCGCCCGACTCACCCCGTCCTCCCACGCCCGGCAAAGGTCCGCTGTCGTCGCACCCCACCCCAAAGTCACCCGGCTCGCCGCCGCAAACAGAGTCGCCGCCCCCAGGCAAAGCGTCCGAGGACTCGACGGCCAGCCCACAACTGCAGCAGACCCGCACTAGCGATGCGACCAGCACCATGTCGCCCACGAGCCCTTCGAACAAGCGGCCTGCATCCGTCCGCAAGTTCCTCGGCATTCGCACGCTATCGTCAAACGACAGTCTGAAGTCGGAGAGGCCAGGCTCGCCAGCCACAATAAACAGCCAGGCACCGAGTCTGAACAGGCGGAAGAGCGGCAGCTGGTTCGGCAAGAGAAAGACGTTCGCCGTCGGGTCAGTGCCAGAGGGACACGCCGACCCGACAACCTACTCGAATGGCCGCACCGTCTCTCAACCGTCCGTACCCGCCGCGCAGGCACCCAAGCCGAAGGGTCCGCCGCCCCCAGCGCTGCCTGGCCTCAGCTCCTTTGGTGTCAACGAAGACACGCTGAGTCTCGGTGCCGACGACATGTTCAAAAACATCGGAAAGGCCGACGTGCCAAAGTCGACAAGGTGGTAGAAGGAAGGAGGCATGGCATTAGTAATGGGGGCATGTTCATGATGCATTTCTAATGGGTTTCGAGTTTAATGTCCTTATCGTTATACCTTTCATGGGCCACAGGTTGGAGTTTTGAAAAGCTGTGGCATCGTTATTTTTTGGCTTGCATGTGCACAACGATACCCCAGTCGATACAGTATAGCGATGAAGTGGCACGTATGAGTGCGTCCGAGATGAGATCTTGTGACGACTGGGGACGACGATGGGTTTGGTGGCCTTCTATTATTCTGGCTTTACATATCACACTCTGCTAGCGTTCACTTCAACGATGGATGTTTGGCCGCGGCGTCTTGTACCGCCGGCCACTATAAATACACATTCTTATTTACCACAGACGACTCTGCGCCTTGTGTTGAAACTAAATCAGACGTCAACAAGGCAGGATACGTACCCCACGTGGCGCGGACCACGCGCGTTGCTGCGGTGGGCTAGCGCGAAACCCTGATCACAACAAACATTGCATATGCGGGAACGGGTGCATCAACACCAACCCTTATCGCAACCGGTCGACAGCCGTAGCCAACTGCCAAGTAGCATAACGGCGAACAATTGCAGCACAATTGCGACGACATAACATATCATGGCCGACCCGGGAATGTTCTCGGTGCGCCGTCAGGTGAGCCCCCCCCCCATGTCACAGCCTTACCCCCTCTTGTCGCATCTCCTAACCACACGCGCAGACTTTAGGACCAGTAAACAACAACTCGTCTGCGATTCCAATGCCAGCCTCAGCCATGAAGCGCTCAAGCTCTATCAACAACATGAACCAGCCTCAATTCCCTCCCAACCACGCGCGATCGAAAAGCGGGAGTAGAATGTCCCTCGCGCCTGGCCGTCCGAGCCAGCCCCTCTTTCCACGCTCATCCTCCGGTACAGACCTCGCCCAGGGCTTCCAGTCGGTACATCGCAACTCCACAAGCAATTTCGGCGCGAGCAGTGCGCGCAAGAGTTTTGCGCCCGGCGCCTCTATCTTCCAAACGCCTGCGCCGCCTTCAGGACCCAACTTCGAACAGAGCGCACAGCGGAGGAGCAGCGTGTTCAAGTCGCGGACTTCTCATGTGTCTGGACAGTCCGGCGTAAAGCAGTCTTTCTTCCAAACGGCGCCCATGCCCTCCGTCCCTCCAACGGACCCCCGACGACTCAAAGACGCAAGCACCCGCCAGCACATGGCGCAGGAGCTGCTCGAATACCTGACACAGAACAACTTTGAGATGGAGTCCAAGCATGTCCTCTCAGCAAAAGCCATGACTTCGCCCACGCAGAAGGACTTCAACTGCATGTTCCAATGGCTCTACAACCGAATCGACCCCAGCTACCGCTTTCAGAAATCCATTGACCAGGAGGTGCCAGTACTATTGAAGCAGATGCGCTACCCTTTTGAAAAGTCCATCATGAAATCTCAGATCGCCGCTGTTGGTGGAAACAACTGGTACACCTTCTTAGGTCTGTTGCACTGGATGATGCAGTTGGCGCGTTTGATGCAAGCATACGAGGCCGGTACCTACGACGATGCGTGCTTTGAGGCCGGTTTCGATGTCTCTGGAGACCGCATCATCTTCGACTTTCTGTCGGACGCTTACAGCACTTGGCTATCAGCAGAAGATGACGACGACGACGAAGAAGCACAACAGAAGCATATGGAGCCTCACATCAGGACCATGGCTGCCAAGTTCGATGCCGCAAACGCACAGCATCACGAGCAAGTCAGCCTTTTAGAGGCCGAGCACAAGTACCTCCAAGACCAGATCGAAGAGCTAGGAAAGTCCGGCCCTAGGATCCAGAAGCTCGAGGAGCAGATTCGCATCCTAGAAGAAGACCGCGTCAAGTTTGAAAACTACAACAACTCTATGGAAGGAAAGGTCAAGAAGTACACTGATCGCTGCTCGTTCCTGGAAAAGTCGATTGACGAGATTGAAGCAGAACTTGAAGCATCAGAGAAGGAACAGCAAGAGCTACAAGCTATCATTGACGGTCGAGGCATGACCATTGCGGATATTGACCGCATGGCAAATGAAAGAGACCGCCTTGATACTTCTCTCCAGGCAACAACAGTGCGACTGGAAGAGTCAAAGAAACGGGTTGCAGAAAAGGAAATCGCTGCGTCTCGCAAACTGGATGAACTCGAACAAACCATTGAACGATACAACAATCTAGGATATCAGATTGGTGTGATTCCCTCTACAGCGGTCAACGCCAAGGGTCAAGACTACGAGCTTGTCCTCACCATCACGGATGGCCCCAACTTCTCAGGATCGCAAATGGGTGGCTCGTCGCAAGATGCATCAGACCGCCTTCTCCACGATGCAGGCACAGGGTACTCACCCGCGCATCTTCTCAACCTGGACCTCCGCGGCACAGTGAAGGCCAACATAATCGCACTCCGCAAAGAGATTGCTGAACGACGCAATCAAGCTTTGGAAGCCGACATGAACAACCACGACCTCTTAGACAAAATCAAAGAAGCCATGGACGACAAACAAGCAGAAGTCGAAGCCCTAGGCCATCGCGTAGCACAAGCAGAAGAAGAGCTAGAGAAGTTACGCGAGATTACGAATACGCAAAAGAGTCAATCTGACGCACAGATCGAGCGCATGGAAAAAGAACTGGGTCGTATGCGCAGCGGACTAGGAGAAAGCGTGCAGCTGATGGTGCAAAGAGAAATGGCTGTCAATATCGAGTAAGTTTTGGACCCATGCACTTTTACAGGTGACCCTGAACGATAACTAACTGTGTACACCAGGTACGAACAACTTCAGCTCCGCGCTAATGCTCTCCGTGAAGAACTCCATACGGAAATTGAGCGCATGCTTGACGACATTGTGCGCTTCAAACTTCACGTACAAAAGAGTTTGGAAGAGTACGAGCAGTTCATTGCCGATGAGGTGGAGCGTAGCTGTGAGGAGCAGGATATGCTTGCCGAGGATGAGGACGAAGAGATGGCTGAGGAGGCGTAAAGCACACGGCGTAAAGCATACTATGCGTGATGAGAGCGATGGATAACGAGCTGACAATGAGCTTACGATGGTGTTCTTGGTGTTGGAATTTCGTTGTTGTATAAGACGGCTTGTCCAGTACGATTTCAACGTTGGGCGTTTGCAAGGGTTATTTTGGGGGTTGTGTTTACGGATACCTTTCTGAGATACCTCTTGTCTTTTTGCTTACCCAATTTTGAGTTTATTGTTTATATATATATCATGTATCTGATCTTGATCGTCGTCTGCTCGTCTTCATGGTATGGATGGATGCTTGTATGGCCCTCCTTGCTTCCTGTATAGCTACTGGGTATCTAAAGTCTTGTTCCATCAACGGCCCATTTACTACCCAGCCATCAATCCCCTCCCGCTCGTCATCATCATATTGCTCAGCAACTCAACTTGACTCTTGAGCCCAGCCATCTCTATGGACTTTTCTTTGACCTCCTTCGTCTTCTCCGTAAGTAGTCGCTTCAATTCCGCATTCTCGCGCCTAAGTTGATTGACTTCCATCTCAACCACCTCAGGGGGAGTTGCTGGTGGTGGTGGTGGTGGGGGACGGTCGCCGAGCGTGGGATCAATACGCAAGTCTTTCCGAGTGGGCGGGAAGGGCACCGAGAGCCTGGGGGCGTGAACAGTGGGCTGCTGGTGTGTATTTAGTGGTTGCTGCATGTGTCGGTGGTTGAGCGGGTTTGCGCCGGTTCTACTACTTTGGGTGGTGTCGTGTGCTTCGGATTCAGCGTCGTCGTCTGAGCTGTTGAGACCATCACCGACTTGTTGACCGGCTGCCTTTCTCGCTCTCTTTATCTGCGCTCGTATATTGTATACGTCGCGCTTAAAGATGTGTATACCGGGCAGCCTCGCTTGCAAGACATCCACAGTCCTCCCAACGCCTCGGTCGCGGCCCTGGTTTGGTTCACCCTTGCGTAGCATCTCTTGTTCGACTATCTTCCACACAAGACCCCCACGTTCGAGACTGTGTTGTGGCTTCCTCGGTGCCTGTACAGACGTGCTTTCCACATCCTGGTCGCCATCGGCTTCGGCATCCGCGTCGTCGAGAGTGTCCTTGATGTCCGAGAGGCTCAACCTGGCGAGCTCCTCCTTGGCCGTGACGCCTCCCACGCCGATGCGCCCACCAACAACTCCCCATGTCCTCTTCCGCTGTACGGCCCATCCCGCACTTTGACGTCCAGGGTGGTTGTGTTGCGCTTCGCCCACACGCAGCAGCCACGTGCCGTCGTGTTGCCTCCTGCCCTCGATCCACATCTTGCACCCCGTCTTGTAGCTGACCCTGTTCTTCCTGACCCTCGTCTCAGCTGTGAGCTTGTGTGTGTTCTTGGGCTGTCCATAGCAGACACAGGCGAGCTTGATGCGGGACCGGTTCTTAGCCGTGGTATTGATGGACAGGGCGTAGCCGTTCTGCGCGGCGTGCGACTGGGCATAGTCGTGCAGTGCTTGCCATGAAGCGTGGACCGAGCTGGAGGGCGGGAGCATAGCAAACTGACTGTCGGCCGCTTCGTTGCTGCCCGGCGGCAGTGCTGCCGTGTTCCGGCCGCCCACATAGCAGGTTTTAGGCGTGTCGTCTGGGGAGTAGCTGTCTTCGCGCTGTTGGCCGTGGCTGTTCATACTCGCGGCCTGTTGCGCGTCGGTCGTCGTGGGCTCGCAATAGGCTGCCATGCTGCTCTGTTGGCTTGCACCATGGCGATGCGACGCTGCAAAGCCATCGTACGCTGGCTGGGGGGTCGCGATTGCGTTGCCGTGACTATACGCACACACGCGATCGAGGTTGTGATGGCGGCTGAAGGTGGCTGCCATGGTCGGCTTGATATGGAGCAAGCTCTTGCTACGTTCCGAATCACTTCAGCCGCGGGCCTTCGGCGCTGCTGTGCAGCTTGTCCGTCATCTGCGCACGTCGTGAATTTCCTCGAGATATGAACAATATGCCTTTGGTCAGTGCTACCGTACATGGGCCGAAGCATCGAGCCTCACTTGTATCCATTCTTGGTACGTCGCCCTGTGCCCGTCAGCCGATTGGACGGCCTCTCGGGACTTTGCGCATCAAGGTTGCTGTCACAACAAAGCAAAGCAAATATCATTGCAACATCAATTCACCACTACTCAAGTCGGTCTGGGAAGCATTCAACGTGTTTTCTCTCGTCTTCATGATTCTCTTATGCCTCAACATAGGTCCAAATAGCTCTATTCCCTCATAGTAACGTTCACCCACATGTCCTTGATTTCCCAGAGCCCGAGGGAGTTGAATATCTTCCACGGCTCCAACGGATTGGCCAATGATAGATCAAAGTGTCTCAACAATTCAAAGACGCACTTGTGTATCTCGATCAACGCAACGTTGCGTCCCAAGCAGAGCCATCGACCGTAGCCAAAGATCATATCGTTAGTCTTTGTCATCCGGGCTAAGCGTGCCTTCTCGCCCGCATCGCTCGTGTCAATGAGCCAGCGCTCGGGACGAAATGTGCCGCAATCCTCGCCGTAAAGGGAGCGGTTGTTACGATGCATTGTCCAGGCCGAGTAGCCTACCAAAGTCCCACCAGGGATGAAGTGTTCCTTGCTGTTAATGGTCACGACGTCTCCTTCATCTGGCGTTACCTTTGAGAAGAGATTGGCGACAGGCGGATGCATCTAAGAGCATATCGTCAGTGCATGTTGACACGATGGCTAATGCTAGTGGAAAGAGAATTAGACTTACCCGCATCCCTTCCCGAACAACAGCTCCCAGGTACGGCAGTCGGCGCACTTCTGCATCGGAGATGATACCAGGAGATGCAGGCGCCGTGCCAGCCTTGACTGACTCATCTATCTCTGCCTGGAGCTTCGCATACACACGTGGATGGCTCATGACATAGAGCAGGATAGCCCGAATAGCAGCAGCCGTAGTGTCAGAGCCAGCGAGAATCTGCTCGAACACCTCTTGAACTAAGCATGAGTGGTCAGTCAACGCTCAGGCATCTCAAATCATAGCCTTCAGGGCCACCTACAGAGATCATTTCCAGAGAGACCGTGACGAACGAATGACGCGAACATATCAGACTTGTCATCAGTTGACTTCGTCATCCTAGAGTTGACTATCTTTCGTGCTTGAGCCATCATGTTACCGAAGCCATTGACGTCCTTTTCCGATGGACTGATGGCAGGCCCGATGATAGGTGTATCTCTGAGCCAGGCTATACCCATTGCAAAGGCCGTGTTACCAATTTTCAGACCTTCTTCGCTCGACTTCAGGTAATTCTGGAGATCCTTGTCGGCTTTCAGGTCACCGAATGCTTGTCCAAGGCCAACATGACTGATAACATCTAATGTGAAGAAGGGTATCTTCTCGGCTAGATCCATCGGTTTAGATTGTTCTGCTGATGCTGTTGGTACTGCATACTTGTGCACCAAATCCACAAGTTCTTTGACATGAAGATCGATTGAGGGCTCCAGCGTTGGGTTCTCTTTACCAGAGTACTGCAGCATGTTAGATGGTGTGCAATCTAACCACTAATCCAGCTTGTAATTGCAGCGGGTGGGCGAATTCATCACTCAAGTTGTCGTCCACGTACCCCAGATGTCATCTTCTTGCGTCTTGCATCATGGCTATCGTTGTCGCAATCTGTAAAGACATTGTCTTTTCCCGTCTCGAATCGAGCACAGTGGTAGTACCAAGATGACCTCGCATACGGTGAACGCACCGCATTGATCCGTGCCCAAAATTCTGGGTCCGATGTTATGAGATGGTTGGGTGCAACTCTAGCAATCGGCCCTACAGAAGCATTAGCATCGGGTCATGTAGCAATCCTCCCTTCCTGATACGCACCGTACTTCTCGCACACTTCGCCGTAGTACTTAGGAGATTGGCCGCTGATAACAGCTCTGGAATGCCACAACCAAGAGAATCCCGTCGTCCTAAAAGGTGCGCGTACCAAGTCAGTCCATGTCTCACCCGTGATTGGTACATGGACGCCTCTTACCTAGGTCCGGCGAAATGTCTCAGGCGCAAGTACTGTCGTATGCGGCCGACAGCAAAGAACGCCACAGCGACAAATGCGATGGCGTACAGGCGCCGTGAGAAATTGTCGAAAGCTGATTCGGACGGAATGGTTTCCATGGCTTGCTTGGAGTGGAGCTAGAGGGCAAGGGTTCAAGGTCGCAGACGATGAAAAGGTCTCATGAAAGTCGTTCCTACAAGTGGGGTATCCCTCACTGAAGGCGCGTGCGGCGTTGTGTACTATGTAGCTAGCGGAGAGAGCGCACCGCTGCAGGCTTATATTGGATAATCGTTGGTCAGTTTGATCGGTCAACAATTGACTGGCTGCTTGGAAAAGATGCGGAGCATGCAGCGGCATGGTACCCAGAGCCGTGAGTTACTAATAGCTAGGTGCGCCCCACCAGCAAACGACAGCTATGGCGGAAGCCACAACGACATTTGGGACCCATGTCCGTTCTTTATCAAGAGTAGTGAGAATCTGAGTAGTTTGCAAGCGCCATGGCACGTCAGGATTGCTGGCGCTAGTGTCGTGTTGTTGATTTTCCGGGTTCCCTTGCTGAATGAGTGCACAAGCCGAGTTGGCGAAATACCGCCGCAGTACTGTACTGCAGCGACAAGCCTTGTCCTTCATGGAGCAAAGCTTCCGCATTGACAGCTACCGTAGTCAATCGATGATGGGTGACGTGAGGGGAAGTATCCATGTACGAACTGCATGTGAGACGTATACTGACTTCGTGCCACCCCGTCTAGATTGCACTACAGCGGATCACTCTGCGGAAACAACCCCGGTCCAAAAACCGTGTTGCAGCTCGGAAAGTCCAATATGCACGAGACACCCGCGATCTAGGTCCACAGCCACGTTTTCTTCCCTGTGTGCACATTTGGGTGGATACAGCACTTCGGATGTCAGAGCCCTTCTGTTCTAGCTTTGCGGAGAGAGTCATCTTGCCCGTCCTTTCACCCAGCCATTTTCTGCCTGACAGTATCCGCCGTT